CAAACAGTGATTTTATAGCATAATAACACACACTTTCGGTTCTTCTATGTTCAATAGGGAAAAAATGCGGGTCGTGTTAAAATTAGTGTTAGATTATTTAATGTTGTACGATCACTTTATAATAGGCTATTTACGACCTGAGACTATTTCTTATTATTTTTCTTTCCAAGGACAATATGAACCAGTATTACCAAAACTATTGCCCATGAGTGACCGTCATCTCCAAAACACAAAGCAGTCCATTGCAATATTTACTAGCATTAAATATACCTCATCCTTATTTACCAGCACTAGAGAATAACAGCATGAAAAATGGGCCTTTGCTTGGAACCAACATTCCTTTTCAGGTTTACCTTTTTCAAATTGTGTCAGGTATCTGTACATTAATGTTCACATTGACCGACCTACTATTGGCTAAAAATTCATATATTGGGCGAATACTCCGTGGAAATTGCACGGAGATAAATAGTCACCACTCGGTGTTTCAAAATTAATCGTTTAGGCATATTGGTGACGGGGTCCGTACTCGACAGCGAAAGCTGCTTTTTTGTGCCTTAATGCGGATGGATAATCATTATACACAGAATACATACAATTGTCCCTATTTGACTCTCTCGTTGTTCCAATAGTATTGTATGGATCTGAAGTCTGAGAAATGTAAATGCAAAGAAATCGAGAAATTGCATTGCGGTGTTTGTAAAATCGTCCTTGGTGTTCGTCCTCAGACTTCAAATGTTGATTCGCTTGGTCGCCTCCCTTTATCTGCGATATGTAAAGAACGTGCTCTGAAATACTGGTTTAATATAATGAAATATCCAGGATCATTAGAACATACAATATTTTTAGAACAATGTGCTTTGTTATATAATTATACCATGTCTACTTGGTCATCGTCTGTTAAAAAACAACTTGATAGTCTTGGATAAAGCTACTTATGGGATTCTCTAAACCTTGATATGAATTATATGCCAATGTAAAAACAAATACAGCGGGATAACTACGTACAAACATAGAATGATACAATAATAAATCAATCTATGTTGTACTATTATAGAAAATTCAAATGTGAGTTTCAATATGAAAAGTATTATTGTTAAAGAAAAGAATTGTCTCGTTTTAGACTCTGTTCCCACCTTTTTAAAATCGAAATTGGTAGATTGCAAATTTGTATAACTTTGTTCACTTAATGTTGAATCTGAATATCATTTTTATTTGTTTGGGTCGTCAGACCAAACAAATAATGGTAGCGAAATTTCAGAGTCTTATGTTGTTAATTGCAAATGCCGAAAGTAGTCCACTTTTTTGAAGCGGTTACTTCCCTTTTGTATGTACAGTAACGCCGAAAAATTCAGGGGAGATCACTGCGTAAAGATGGTCAAAGACAGGCGCATTAATTTTTAAGCAAAGTAATTCCCGAATGGTCGAATATTTCTAATATTGTTTTATTGTATTTTCTGATCGAAAATAAGTAAATACCAAGCGGACATTCAATCTCTGACACAGAAGTTTACGACAAACCTAACAACAAGTAGTTCTCAAAACAGCTTAAAACTAGCGATTTAAAAGAAAAAAATATTTTATTTTGTTACAAGTATCCAACAAATTACAACGCATTCAAAGTTAAACAATAGCGTTGGCTTATAGAATTGTCAATAAATGCACAATCACAAATTACGCGGATGAATATGATTTTATCAATGAAAATACTATTTTTAGCGATGTCCATTACCGAATACTACACAAACCGAGTAGTGGAATATATAGATTCTACATGTCGGACTGTTTGGGCGAGAAGATTTTCGCTAAAATATTTACTTCAATTTTAAACAACAGGGTTTATCCTGAACAAAATACCTCGAAATTAATAAGGATTACAAACCCGAAATGCAATGGAAGTTCTAAATTTAGAACGACTTGATGTTAATCAAAATATGTTTAAATAACTTCTCCGTGGTACAGTGGTAACGCACTCGCTTAGTGAGTGAGAGGTCTCGAGTTCGAATCCCATTCGAGGAAACTTTTTTTTTTTAATTCTTTTTTAAGTGTCTTTGTTAAGAAAGTAGCCATGATATGCAAGGATAAAGTGTGGCTGTCGTAAAAAATGAACATAAATGACTTTTTGATGCATCTCTAGTTATGCAGAATTCCGTATGTATCAAACTCTGGTGCCTTGCAAAATGAGTTATAATACATAAAAATAAAATAATACAGGAAAATGCATACAGATATACAGTACGATTTAGATTGCAAAGATCAGAAAATACCACAGAACTTGCAGCCCTTTGATTCTTTATAAATATACATGCTTATAGTAAGCTCCAGGATTATTTACATCTGTGTTAAACAACAGTTAAAGTCGTTACAAGCCCTAATTTAGAATAATATGGTTTTCTTCAGGCCGTTCACATATAAATTCACCGTGGCTGAAGGGTTTTCGGGCTCGCTTAGGAAGCGAGAGGTCTGGAGTTCAAATCCCAGTAAAGGTAACTCATTTTTTTTCAAATTGTTAAAGTCAAATAAACATTGGATTGAATATCAGTGTTGCAATTAGTCTTATAGCCAATTTACTACAATTAAAACGCTGGAAAGCATTGGTGGCACTATACATATAATCTCACAACCTGCACCTTTCTTACATTCTGAGACCCAAACAAATTCAGCGCCTTCTGTGCTTTGATTTGTTATGCTGCCGTCGAAGAAATATATAATGTTAAATATTCTTTTCCGTGCATTAATTATTTTACTAGATTATTGTCTTCTAATATTAACAGAACTATTAGGAATACTGCCAAATATGTGTTTATGCTATGCATTTGAAAAATGAAAGACTTGCAATTATTGCTGCTTCTTAAGTTCTTGTGTAATAACTGTATTGTATTATTGTATTTATGTTAAATGTAAATTGTATTATCTTGGCAATAATTTTGTATATTGTAAATGGCCAATGGTATATTGTATATTGTAAACTGAAACTGAATAATAAAGGGACAGAGTAGGGATCTATCAATTTTAATTTTGTATAATAAGGGTTTGAACTCAGAAGAATTTTGTTAATCATATTAGTCTAATTGATAATTACCTGATATCAAACATATGATCAAACTTTTACTATATTTATCAGATAGATTTGTTACACTAGTGAAGTGGTTAATCGTACCACTTGTATATTCTATATATAACATAGAAGCTTGGTTGACATATTAGAAGACTTTCACACTGACTGCCAGTACAGACAGGCACATCTAGCTCGAGTGTAGCTATAGAGAGGCCTTGTCAAGTTTCCGCTAAACAGTTACCCGAGAGCTTAATATTCCCATCTTCCCCGACACACACTGTTTGCTTCTTTTTCTTGTATATAACATGTCTTTTTTTTTTGGAACAGACACTATGAAAACTGAAATTTTCATTACGCAATTGAAAGATGAAAATACGATTTGCTTTTATGTTAATTCGTTTATTGATAAATTTTGCAATTTATAAAACATGAACATTATGGAATACCAAGGAACAATACAATACACAATCCAACCAACAGCAGGAAATGTACTCCGAAAAAAAATCAAATAACACAATCTAAAAATACACAATTTACAAATGCAATGTAGTCATTCAACATAAGTAAGCAAAACAATGTTTCCAGCTAATGAGCTTAAAATACCGTTTGTATTTTTATAATGATTTCAATGTCGCCAGCGAGTTAACAATTAATGCACGCCTGTCTTAAATGTACAATGTATAGTGAACTTTTTTATACATCAGTAAACAGTTATAATACAATCGTTATTTACAATACTTATCATGAAATGAAATAAGCATTTTACTATCCAAACATTTTCAGATTCAAATAATACTTCGGTTTTAGTATGTTAGGGCTCCTACAAAAATTCTTTCATATGCATTTGTCGAATTTCTTGGTACAGGGGACATTCAAATAGGTATTGGAATTCATCGTGTAGAATGTTACATAGTCTACATTTTCTTTGATCAAATAATATTTTATATGGCTTATGCCAGCTACCTACCAATTGGCTAAAACTCTCAGTCTTACTAATGTTTTTGTTTTTGTTGATTTTTGTGTGTGTTTTTCCCCCTTAAATATCATTATTTAACAATGTCTCAATATGGCCCATATCTAAAACATGAAAATATATCTACGATTAAGCATAAAAAATACAAAAGATGAAAGAAATAACATATCCAAATATATGTTGTAAATGTTTCTAAGACAATTTTTGATAATAATAAAAATGATAATAATAATAATAATAACAACAACAACAACGACAACGACAACGACAACGACAACAACGACAACAACAACAACAACAATAATAATAATAATAATAATAACAATAATGATGATGATGATGATGATTATGATGATGATGAAAAAAATAATAATTATCATTATTATAATATTAATGATGCTTTTGATGATGATGATGATGATGATGATGATGATGATGATGATTTGCTATATACAACTTATTTATACTTTTGCAGTCCTGACTGTATTTCTACGATATAAATTTTTAGAGAAAATAATTTTTCACTGAGCTCACATTTACTTTTCAAAGCTTTCGTAGGCCACCTCTGTTTTTATTAAATTAAAAAAGAAATATTGAAATGTAAAATATGAACCATCAATGACACTTTTAGGAATATATTCCGCATCTGATTTTCTTCTCTCTCTTGTGTTATAAGATTACATGCCAAAGGAAATGTTTTAAAAATGGAATTGAAATTATTTCTCTTCTTTGTGTACATGTATAAGAGAAATTCCATTAGGAAATGGGTTTCACGTGATTATTACGTGACAAGTTTGTATTTATTATTCTTCTCTCCTGTATGCACTGTCATATAAGTTTGATGATTACCAATATGAAGAAAATGATTTGCCACATATTTCGTATTTTATTATTCTTCTCTACAGTGAGCACTATCATATCAGTTTTAAGAAATCCATGTTGAAAACGTTCTTTATCAAATAATTTGTCACTTTAATTCTTCTCTCCTGTGTGTTCTGTCATATGAGTTTCAAGATTGCATTTAAGAACAAATGCTTTGTCACAGATATCGCATTTAAATTTCTCCTCTCCTGTGTGCACAACCATATGATGTATACGATTACTTCTAAAGGAAAATGCTTTGTCACATATTTCACATTTGTAAATTTTTACTCCGGTATGTACTACTACATGATCTCTTAGATTATGCTTACGAGCAAATGCTTTGTCACATATTTCACATTTATAATTCTTCTCACCTGTGTGCACTGTCATATGACTTTTAAGATGGTCACTTCGATAATAGGCTTTGTCACATATTTCGCATTTAAAATTCTTCTCTCCTGTGTGCACTGTCATATGTTTTTTCAGATGGTCACTGCGACCAAATGCTTTGTCACATATTTCACATTTATAATTTTTCGCTCCTGTATGTACTGCCATATGAGTTTTGAGAGCACTCTTATAAGCAAATGCCTTGTCACACATTTCACATTTATAATTCTTCTCTCCTGTGTGCACAACCATATGTGTTTTCAGAGGGGCAACGCTAGGAAATGCTTTGTCACATAATTCACATTTAAAATTCTTCTCTCCATTGTGCACTTTCATATGAGATCTAAGATAGCTTTTATCTGCAAATACTTTATCACATTTCTTGCATTTAATATGCTTCTCTTCTGTGTGTATTGCCATATGCGTTTTAAGAAAACATTTATATGAGAACAGTTGATAACAAATATCGCATTGAATCTTTTTACCGTCAGTATGCCTTTTCGCATGCCTTATTAAATGGTTTCTGTTTGCAGTTTTGTATTCGCAAACATTACATTTCAATAACGGCTTTTGTTCTGTACCCGTGCTCATGTTTCTGTTGGACAATAAAGTCTTTGAATCCTGTAAGATAAACAAGTAAATTTTAATCCTCTCTGAATGTCTAGCATTGTTGCTGTAATTTTAAGTATTGTCTCAGCTTTCAATTATTGGAACTTAAATGTCAAAACTAACTCCATATTTCGAATGATATTTATATTATGCTTTATATTATTTATTATATTTACGAGGTCCCGTCTTCATTTATAGGATACTCAGAGAATTGTACTATAAATATGTCCATTAAATTATACTAAATTCAATAAAATACATAAAAGTAAAGACAGTCACGTGACGAAATATTATTTATTAACAATATTCTCTCTTAAGAAAAAGTATATATATATATATATATACATAATATATAAGTTATATATATATTATATACATTGTATATATAACTACGCAAGAATTATTAACGACATAAAATTCCGGCTACTTTGGTCAATTTAACGTTAAATCTCAATCATAAACCAATCATGCTATATATTTACCCGCGTTATCAGCATTGTGGGTAAAAACATGGCGGACGTGTTTTAGAAAGTGATTGTATATTGATGGATTTTTAGCTGTTTTTGGATTCAAAATGAACGGAAATATTAGCAATTTTTTCGCAAGTAATAGTGATATGCCTATGGATAGGTTTATGAACAGGTTTGAGCCCCTCTCAGAAGGTTTTGAGGAGCAGCGTGGAAAGAGAACGCACCGTTCGACAGGTGGTGGGTCACTTCAAGGACAACAGGTCCCAATACCGCCATTTCAATCTCATACTCAAATGAATGTTGAGGAACTGAAAAAGCTACCAAGTGATGAAAAATTAAACGCATTATTAGATGGTATGTCAAATTTAGGATTATTGAAATATAGATTAGATAGTGTCGAATCAACTATTTATGTTAACTGTGCTAGACATGAAGTAACGGACCAACGCTTGAAATTACTCGAATATCGGTCACTGGATTTAGAGGCCCGAACAAGAGAACAAAATATTATTATAACGGGTTTAAAAGAAAGCAGAGATGAAAACTGCGTAAAAGCCAGGGACTTTATAAAGTCTCGACTTGGTCTAGACGCAAAAACGTTTAACATTTTAGACGCATATAGAATAGGCAGGATAATCAAGCCACATGTTGTTCACACTACCAGACCACAACATAGGTTTCTTCTAGTTACTCTTAGTCATAGAGTTGAAGTAGACTGTCTCATGCAAAACGCTTATAAATTAAAAGGTATGGATTTTGGCTTAACACGTGACTGCCCCAAAGAAATAAGTGACGCGAGAAAAGTGCTGTGGCCAAAGTTTAAAATGGAGCCATCTAAGCACGGTCCTAGAGAGGTACATATTATTTACCCAGCGGCCCTTAAAGTTAAAGGCAAGATTGTCGAAGACATGTTCCCAGATTGGCATGAGACCCTCAGGGGCTCGCGCCACACGAGTGCTTCTAAGCGCGTCTCTGAAAAGAAAAATTCAGAATCAATGCGCCTAGCGTTTGCTAAACAATATAGCGGGCCACGTGAGCAAACGGAGACCTTGCAAACCGAAGCAGACGACGACCCAGTTATTGACATTGTCAACTCGCATACAAATTGTAATTCGCCCTCGAACGATAAAAGTAGCAGCAATGGACATAAAGGTTCGAAGAGATCAACAGCCACTGAAACACCATTACGAACAATTAGCGAATCAAATCCGGGAACAGAATATACTCAATTATCTCGAGGGAAAGGTCCGAAGCACAAAAAATCCACTTCCGGTGGGTCGGCGTATTCAAGCCATCCTGATACAACTCGACTTCATGAGAGCGAAGATAGTGATCACAGTGATTAGCACGTGCAGGGACAATGCGTACATGTAATGATCACGTGCCTAGTACTGTTAATTTAGTTTCTGATAATTTACTTCCAAATGAACTACACGATGACTTATGTGAAGGTAATATATTATACTTGTGCGCTGAATGCATTAATTTACCAAGTACATCAACATTTATTATGTGTGAACATTATAAAAGCATGAATTCGGTTTTAAATTTTGCAAATTTACAATGTACATCTCCATCAACTTATGATACTGATTTTAAACAGAAAGAAACGTTAAATAATAATCTTCATAACTCTGATGATGTTACTATGGAAAATACCTCCGAAAACTTATTATGTATTAGTGTTTTGAAGATAGGGAGTTTAAATGTCTGTGGACTGAAGAAAAGATGTAATTACCCAGAATTTTCGAGCTTGATACAAGACTATGATATTTTTTGTGTTGAAGAAACTTAACTCGATAAATATGATATAATTAATGTACCCGGATCGATATACATTTTATTCAAAGCCAAGGTCTGAAAAGTATAAGTAAAAGTAGAAAATCCGGAGGAATAGGTGTTTTTGTTAAAGATATTATTTTAGACAAAGTTGAAGTATTATATTCTAGCAGTGAACAATGTAATAATCTTTTTATTGCAAACGGTCGAATTGGTGAAGATCGGTCGATTGGTAAATGTACGTTTAGGGAGACTTTCGTGATAGATTATGTTTTATTTTCATCAAACTGCTATAGCCTTATCTCTGACTTCAAAATTTGCGATGTAGATAATTTATTTTCAGACGGTCACTCCGTTTTATCTTTGAATTTCAGAATTCCTTTAACATCGATATATAAAGTTACGAATGAAAGCGCTCGCGAAAACGAAGCTATTAGAAAACCACCTAAGTGGAAAAATGAAAAAAGAAACAACTAATTTATAGCGAATTTAAATGAAAATAATCTGAATTATATAAATACAAAATTACAATCTCTTACTACTCACTGCACGAAGTCAGATTTGAATGACATTGCGGATAATATCGGAAAATTATTTAATGAATCAGCGTTTAAATCATTTAAAAGAAGTGATTTTCAGCGAAATTCTATAAATGATCAAAATATGCCTTATTACAAACCCTGGTTCGGGCCTCAGTGTAAAAAGGCTAGACGACGATACCATATTGCACGGAAAAAGTACTTTACACATAAAAACGAACAGTATAAACATGAACTAAATCGTGCTAGTAAAGCGTATAAACAAACAATTAATACTTACATTCATAAACATAGAACGCGAAATGAGCGTAAATTAAGAGAGATGCACTCTAAACGCCATAAAGATTTTTGGAAAGTTATAAAATAATTTAAACTCACCGTTATCAGTTCAAGATATGCCTGACGTACAAACATTTTATGATCATTTTAAAACGGTAAATTCAGAGAGTAATTTTAAACAGGACCTTTTTGACATGTCAAATATTAATTTGCAAAATAATGAGATATTAAATCGCAGAATTTCATCATTTGAAATTAAGAAAATGATTGATAAAAGTAACACTTCTAAAGCTGCCTCGCCCGCAAGATTATATATACAATGAATATATTAAAAGTACAGTAGACCTAATGATTCCTATATATTGCGATTATTTTAATAAAATATTTGATTCTGGTGTTTTACCGGACTGCTGGTTAGTTGGTACCATTATCCCGATATACAAAAAGAAAGGCTCTCCTCGAGACCCTATAAACTACAGACCAATTACATTACTTAGCTGTCTTGGCAAAATTTTTACTGCTGTTCTTAATGAAAGATTAATGAATACTTAACTATAAACAATATTCTTAATGAAAATCGGGCGGGGTTTAGGCCTAAATATTCAACATCTGATCATATTTTTACACTGAAATTTTTAGTTGATAGAATTAAAGCAAAAAAGAAAAAAATATTTTGCTCCTTTGTTGATTTTTCATCGGCATTTGACAAAATTTGGCGTGTAGGTCTTGGGGGTAAACTTTTACAAAATGGTGTTAATGGTAAACTTTTTTAAATTATTTTTAATATGTACCAAGACATTAAATATTGTGTTTCTGTCAATAACAGTTTTTTCCCGTTTTTTGGCAGTTTCTGTGGGGTCCGTCAAGGGGAAAATTTGTCCCCCATTTTATTTTCTATTTATCTGAATGATTTGGACGACTATTTAGCCATAAATAACCGAGGTATTAATATTGAAAAAAAATGATGACAATATGATAACATATTTAAAACTCTTTGTATTACTTTATGCCGATGACACGATTATAATTAGTGAAAAAGTTTCAAAATTTACTCTATGATTTTAATTGTTATTGTGAACAGTGGAAAATGTGCATAAACATGACTAAAACAAAAATAATTATATTTGGAACTGACAGACCCGATAATTATAATTTCCGTAAAATTTTAATTGGACTCGTTCAATCACCTCTATATTACCATATCCCCATATTTCCGCCACATAAAGAAGAATAGGTTTTATTGTTTTATTAAAAAGATCTATTTGGATATCAATTGGTAAACTAAGTCGACTTGAGTTTCTTATTAAACTAACCATTGCTCTAGCTAGTAGCTTGTAATGATATATGCTTTTTAGTTTTAGTATATGATCCACTTTTACAAAATAAAACTCCTAGATACTTGTACTCCGTTACTACCTCTAATGTTTCGTTGTTCAAGATAAAATTATAGTTTTGTTGTCGTCCTTTAGAAAATACTACGATTTTAGATCTAGATGTATTTACAGTAAGTTTCCATATGAATTTGAATGGGAAAAAATAAAACGAATTGAAAATTTACGTCATTCAAAACCAAAAGACCTTTGGAAGTTTTTTCGTAGAAAAAATGAGAAAGGAAGTGGCACATTAACTGTAGATGATTTTTTGAAATATTTTTCAAGTTTACAAAATGAATTTCAAACCCCTGTGAATAATGAAGCTGAGGACTTTTGTTCAGAATATGATTTTGATGCAAATAGGTGTAGTT